TAGTCTTACACTGCTAAATTAGGGACGGCTAGCGCAGATAACCCTCGTGTAGCTTTGCGCGAAATTCAAAACAAACTAACTAATGTAATGTGTGTGCTTTATTTTTAGCCATTCCAAGAAAAAACTAGTATTTAGATCAGCTGTTTTAGAGATTAATTATATATTACTTTGTTAAAGATAAAAAATAATAGTTTTACGTTTTTATACACGTTTTTCAGACTGTGCTAGCTTTGTATTGATGTTGTTACACACATTAACTGCCTTTATAGTAGGGTATCCTGGATTTCTATGAATGCTTTAGTATGTTTGAAATCAATTTTTTGTTTGCCTCGGTTTAGATGAACTGGCAGTTTCTTTTAAGCATGTGCTTATGTGCAGCTGTTGTTTGCGTACAAGGACTGCCGAACAACCACAGGGTCCAGAAAAGAAGTCAAAAGATCTGTGGGACGCAATTAGCCGAAGCCCTAGCTATAGTGTGTCACAGTTTCTACTATAGCCCCTTCAAGAGAGTGGAAACTGAATTACCTACCAACGATGATGAATCCGGTAAAAAGTCCTTCTGAATAGTCTCTGTCAGTAATACTCTAATGGGCACATGAAGAGCTAGTTTTCATTATGGATGTTCTACGAATGTTACAAAGTAGTCTTGATAAGGGTTAAATGTACATAATACTTATCACTTTCCCGTGATGCAACCGGACGAAAGCCTGTCCTGGTTGAAAAAAATAACACATCACATAATGTCAGATATCATTTATTTATGGCTTTAATAATATAAATAGTAATGAAAAAATAAGAGGTATTGTGGTAAGACGATTAGAAATTAAATAATTCTTTGTGCGATTCTCAGAGTTATTGTAAAAAGATATAAATATATTAAAACATTTTGTTTTGATTTTGACAAGATTCTTCAAAATGTGATAAACTTTTTACATTATGTTCAAAACCGTATATTCTGGTAAAGAATGGGAGTTGTATTAAAACTAACGAAACCATAACTTAACGTAAAACTAGGAAAAGGTCAGAAATTTCAGCGATGGTGCAACAGTCTGTAGTGTTAAAATTTTTCTAAACTGAACAAAAAAAAACTGTCAATGAAACGATTCTGAAATTTTCAAAACTCGTGAGTCCTGCAGAATTTCATGTTTAATAATCTTAAAGTGAAAATTGAGATTCGTTAACTACAGCTAGTAAGCAGAGTGATGCCTGTTGTTAATGATAATTACCAGTTTAAGAAACATACATGTTTCTCGGAAAGAAAAGTTAAATCCTTCTCAGGAACAAATTCGTAGCTTCAAAAGCCTTTTAACCTTTAGGATAAATTTAGAAAACAACCAGAGTTAGTTGTAGAACTATTTTGAATTAATTGTGCTGCCTGCTGCAAATAAAAATATACTTTTCAATATATATGAAATTATATAAGTCTAAAAAAGAAAAGAAAATTCTTAATATATATATATTACCAATAATATTTTTAACCGAACTGTTTTGGATAAAGGATGTCTTCGTTGTCAGACCTAGACATTAGTTACACAGAACTTTTATTTATGCTATTTTTAATGTATAAAATATTTTGTGACAGTTTGTTTCTGTTTCTTTTTTGGCTGTTCTCTGTCACTAGCTCTAGTTTTAGTTAAATGTAGATATCAATATCCAGACTCAGAGTTTAAGGTTCACGTTTGAGTAAAAATACACCATTGTTTTTCCTAGTTTTTTTTTCTCTCTCTCTTTTTAATACTAAGGTTTTGTATTTTGCAGATGATAATCTAACTTTCGAAGGAGGATTGCTACACAGTAGGAGTGCCCTATCGCTGTTTGGGAAGCGGGACATGCTCTTTCGGAAGGTCAGAGGGGTCACTGATGAATGTTGTAGGAAAGGTTGTACCATCACCGAGTTAACATCGTACTGCGGTAGAGAGACCTAAACTTTCAAGTTAAAATATGTATTATGTCATCAGATCAAATGATAGAGAGTGGTAACTTTTTGTTCATCATAGACGTTTTTCGTTCAGTTTCTTTCCACAAATATTTTCGCTACAGATATCAGGGTTGAGTTTTATTGTATGATATTTTATTCGAAATAATAACATATGATGACTAGAAACAACAAGATGTATAATTTAAGCTGTACCAAGTCGCTTGAAGTGAAGAATCCCCATTATGTATTTTATCTGAGGAATAAAATGTGTTTGTTCACAGTTTTACGCAATTCTGTCGTTTACCTTACAGAAGTTATTTAGACATTTAACTTGCTACTGAACAACAAAATTATATTTCAAAACAGTAATTTCAAAGCATTTTCTTATACATAAATATTATGGAAGTCGATGTATGTGCCATATCGGGCTATCTGCTGTGTCCACCGAAGGGAATCGAATCCCTGATTTTAGCGTTGTAAATCCGTAGGCTTATCGCTGTTTCACCAGGAGACATGGAAGTTGGTCTACGTCAATATGATATAAAGTTTTTACTATGAAACACAAAAGTATAGCTACATTACTCTTTCATAAGTATAACGGATTATTTCATTACTTGGAGTCTCTAGTAGTAACCAATAAATTAATTTAAAAAAAAGAAAATAAATTTCTTATAATTGGCTATTGTTAGTGCAAGTAGAGCCACCTTCCTAAGAGTAGAGCCACATTACTAAGTATCACGCAGTATGCCGAAAACCTGAGGGTTTATAACATTAAAAACAGGGTTTCCATTCTCGCGGTCGGCAGATACAATCACCCCATTGTGTAGTTTTGTGCTTCACAGCAAACAAACAATCAAACCACGCAATATGAAAATTATGTTTCAATGTTTTAATTATACAAAAAAAAATCTTCATTGTTTTTTGTTGTTGTTTTTGAGGGGATATGATCGATGTTATATTTTACATGTCCAGTAGTTCTTTCACAATAATATCTATTATAAATGTATAAAAATGCATGATAATATAAAACTGACAAAGATATGGTGCTATGTCATCAAGCACTAGAATGTTAATGCTAACTCAAGTATAAAAGCCACGCCCCCACTGACTTACAACGCAAGAAACTGGGTTTCGATACCCGTGATGGGCAAAGCACAGATAGCCCATTGTGTATCTTTGTGTTTAACTTCAAACACCCCAGTGACACAGCGATATGTTTGTGGACATATACCGCTAACTACAAACAAACAAGTATAAAATAACTTTATACTCTTCTGCCATCTGTTGAATTACTTGTGAACTACCTTTAATTTATATAATTTAATTTTAATAAAGCTTCAATTATTCCAATATCTCATTATTTCAAACATTTCAATGAATATTTTATCGGTAAACGTTTAAGAGTTTTAATCATTCTTTTTATTTCCATTAGAAAATAAAGATAATTACGTTTATGTATATTTAATTTTACAATATTTCAGTTTTTTGTTTTATTAAAGAAATATTACATTGTGATAAAAATACTTGGAATGCAATAATTAAACATATACTTATAATTAAGCCATATGAAATAAAGAAAACAATACAAAACTATATTTAGCTCAGGCCCATACGCAGAATGTTTGAAAAGAAGGTTCTAACTTGTAAGATGAAAAGCCAACACATATTATGCAAAGCAGAATCAGCATGCAATGCATGATACGGGGATTTGGGGACGTGCGACTATTTCAAGCCAAAAAATATTAATGCTTCATCATAAGATTGTAGTCTATGTAGAAAACGTTAAATATCATAAGCAGCTGCGCTATAACTATATAAGTATATTTTTTACATCACAAAAATAGAGGGTTCGGCCGAAACCTCCCCTGTGTACGTGCGTATAGTTTCCTCACAGTTAATAGAATGTTGTCACTTTTTGTTTATTCTTTATTGTACATTGTTCGTAATCGAATACGCTTGAATTGAGTTTATGAGAGTAATTTGAAATTGAATCGCTTTCCTTATGGAAAACTTATCGCACCTTGACATGTGCATGCAAACAGACCGATCTCTGCTAACCATTAACGACAAGAAAAATTAAATATTAAAAAAAAATGAGTATTACACAAATATCTTTTGTTTATGAAAACCCAAATAAGAACATGTTTTAGGCTTATGAGTAATACATGCCTTCGGTTAAAAAGTTCATCTTGGAGTAATTGCGTCGCTGCCACGTTTCGGACACACGTTTACCTATTATACCAAACGCTGTCAACAGCATTATTAAACCTATCATTAGAATAATAACAATTTGAAGGGATGATACATAAAGGTTTAAATAGTTCTGATCGTTCATAAAGGTATCATTGCCTGTCAGAGTTTTTGTAATGTTAATAGTTTTTGATTCGTTAATGTAAAAGCTTTCACTAAATTTAACTGGTATATTTGTATAATAAACGGTGCTAACTGTCTTTAACTGTCTATCGGAAACACTTAGGCGTGATACGAGCGTCATATAATCATTCGTTTTTAAAGTTTTGTTCATTGCCCTTGGTGGAAAAGTTGACATGGAAAAATGGCTGAAATTAATCATAATAAAACTGCTCTGGGTTATGGAAATATTTTGCTTGAGAGATTGGAAATTATTAGAAATATTTGAATGCTTAATTTTACTTAACGGCGGCAATGATGAATTCAAAATATCAGACCTTGATGAAATAACAGCTTGTTTCTTTTCAGCAACTTCTGTTGGCTCGTTATTACTAAATCTAGAACTTGTAACAACTTTGATATTAAAGTCTTCACTTATTTGTTCAGCAGTAATATTATTTGTTGGAATAGTGTAGTTATCTGATAAACTGAAAGGCAAGTTCCGAATTATTACTGATGATGCATTCTTGATTTCGGGAAACGTCGTCGCAGTAAATTCTTCATGTTTCAAGTCCTGCTGTACCTTCAGGTCTGTGACAAGGCTTATGTTTCTCTTGCTTCCAGAACCAGAAGTAACAAGAAAAAATGGTTTCTGGACAACTATGTTGGACACAGTTCTATCTAAAAGATTTTCTCTATTGGTTGTGAGTGCAACATTAGATATAGAGTCTGATTTTAAAACTTTGTGAAGTTTTTCTACGCTATCATTTACTCGGTGACTTGGCTCACCGTTTTTCACGTGAAGAATAGTGACCTCTTCCTGGTGGTTTGGCAGGTTACTACTATTCGAAACTGCTTCTTGATAAAACTGCGTTGATTCTGCTGTTTCCTTGCTAAGCTTAGGAGCAGGTATGTTTAGATCAGTAAGTTTATGATCTGGAGCATATTTAGAAGAATCTTCTGTATTTTTATTATCTGATATTCTGTCTTTGTTCGTAATAAGTACATAGGAATCGGTGTCTTTAGCCTCTACAAACAAACATAGAGACAGAGGAGAACAAAACCAGTGATAACAGTTGGAGTGAATTCTTTTAGTACTAAATCCAAAGATGTTGCATTCCCCTAGAAATAAAAAAAACAAGTTACTAATATCATCAAATATTTGACACCAGGATAGCTGCTTAATAAAAACAGAAATATGTAGTTGTTTCAGTTTACACATAATCATTAAATCATGCATCTTTGCATGGATGTAATGGTATCGAAGCGCACTGGAACGCCGCTCCGGTAGCTGAAGCGAAGCTGAGTCCTGACATTTCAAACTCTTAAAAATATCTATATAGAAAAATATATGTTATTTAGTTTACACCCGAAGTTAAGTGTATTTCATAACCAAACAACCAGAGTGTTAGAGAACATTCTGGTTGTTTGTAATCCCCCCCGTATCCACTGGTATAGCTCTCTCAGGCCACCCAGCACACACTGTAACTCTCCCACAGGAGCTGGCGTCAGGCACAGTGCAACTTCTCCGGCTCAAGAGCAAGTGTAAAAGCGTTAAAATGGTGAAATATTTTTTTATATAATACGTGATTATTAAGACACACGAATATGGTATATTAACACACTTAATAAAATACACCTTACAAGTATGATCTGTGTTTAAAACGTACACATTTGTAAAAAACTTATTATTTACAAAATATACAATGAAGGTCGCTTTTTTATTTATGTGTGTTGGCATGACAGGAGGTATGAAAGCATTATAAAAGTCAAAGTTGTTAATACTTTAGTGCAGCTACAGGCATTGTAAATTAATAAGATACGCGTTTTTTTATTTGTTTTATTATCAGTCATTTTTGTATGGTACCCAGTTGTTGTTTTCACTTGCAGCTTATCTTAAAGTAAGTTGAGTTGCATGTTTTTTCTCAGTAATATAATGCGTATATGTGATTTAGTACTGATGTAAGTAGTCTCCAATTGCTAGTGCTGCATATCCTTCTTTATTTAAAATGTAAATGCAAGGTTTTTAACCATGATGTCTGTCATGAGCGAGTTTCATGTTTGAAACTGAAACTGAGAATATAAAATAAATCTCAGCGCAGTCGTAACAGCCATTAAAACGAAACAATCTGTTGAAAACTGTTGTTAATAACACAAAGTATGTATGCGAAATATTCTGACGGAATCATAAGTTCTATATGAAGTACTGTAGCGGAATTATACGTAATGAAGTGTTAGTCTGACACCGTCTACATTAGTCTTATTTATACATAGTTTGTATGTTAGTTTTACAAGCATGTTCAATTTTATATTATTTAAAAATACAGAAATTATTAAAGAAAACTGTATACATGAGTGCAGTATCATTCTGATGTGTTATGTGTTACAACTGACGTGTTGTGTGCTATAATGTGTTGTACGAAGGGTACATTTTAAACTTCGAAGATTCAGAACATGTTACCGAACGAAATTTAATTCTGAGCCTTCGATACTACTAATTTGCATAATTTACTGATGACGTTACCATAACTACTATTTTATAACTGACTGAAAACCCTTTTATATTACACGTAATCTATATAAATGAAATTAAAATACGTTATATAGAACAGTAATCACATATTTTTTATTTGAAATACTAACAAAATGCACGTTATTTATGTGCGCATACTTGATTTGTTTATGTGCTGAATTTCGCGCAAAGCCAACTTCTAGTGGTATAACATCCCCGCGGCTGAAAGAACAAGCATGTTCGGTGACGCGTTTCGATCCCACGACCCGCAGTGTGCGAGTTAAGCGCCCTAACAACCAGATCATTTACATATAGCTACATACAGTAGCTTGTATTGCAAGAGCACCGTTGCTGTGGCCAGTTAAAAGTACTGCAGCTGACTTAAGCAAAACAAATCCTTATTTAACAGTCACACTTCCAAGCAGGTTAACAGTCACAGTCTTTTTAAGATAAAATTGTTGATTAGTGAAACATTAATCAACATTTATAGTTCGATTATAAAATAAGTATGCTCCTTCAACTGTAACAAAAGTTACAAGAGAAAGAGTGTGTTACTATTAGTAGCATGTTTTTGTTGACAACATTGTTGATTAATTAAACTTACGCCTTTGGAAGAGGAGAGTTTCACGAGTGCTCCTTTTTCAACATTCAAATTATTAGTGTTAGTGTATATTTTACGTTTCACACTCATTCTAACGTAACACTTCTCTTATGTCGTGTACTCTAGGCATTCCGTACATTTTCTTGAAACAATGCGTACAGCCACTAAAGATACCCAAAACACACCCTGTGCTCCACCATAATTGTCTGCTCCAACGAATGAATAAAGCTGCTTCGTATGTCGTTTAGGTGGTGTGTTTTTTGTCTTCTTTTTCAATACAACAACTTTTGTTTAAGTAATGAGCATTATGCTATTAAACGATTGAATTTTTCCACGCGGGTGACATTTAACGTGTGCTTATTGTTCAAACATTTTCAAATGGTTTCTGTTAATTAACAAGAGAAAAAAAACAAACAAAAAACATGACAGTGCTTGAATGCCACCTGACGAAACATTGAATTCTTGGATAGCGAAAGAACCCTCGAACACAGCC